TCACTCGAGGGTCGCAGCCCTCGCGGCCACCGGCGCTGTGGGGTCGGCCTGGTGGTGGACGTGGGGCCGCAGGGAGAGGGCAGACTGGGGAAGGGTAACTTCAAAGGAAGTGAGCAGAACAGCGAGGTCAGTCCCCTCTGGAAAGCCCCATTCAGTTAAAAGTGAGATTTTATTTCAGAAACCAAAACCAGTCATGCGTGGGGCTCCTCCGTGGGAGTGCCCGGGCTCAGGAGCCACACTTTCTCCACGCGCTCGTCCCCCGCGGAGCCTTCACAGCCCGTGAGAGTCACCCACCCACAGGAGGTCTGTCGGGGGGCCCGGGCAGGACCCCAGGAGGGAGGCCGCCGCTGCGCTCGGGGCGGAGTCAGGAAGAAGAGGGCACCTTCCCAGGCCCTGGGCCCTGCCGCGGGCAGCGTGTGCCCACACTGTGCCCACACGTGGTGGAGAAGACACTCGCTCACCCATGCCATTTCCGCTGGGACCCTGGACTCTGCCATGGTGGTGGGACTCGGCGGACCAGGGCTCCCGGGTCAGTGCATGCTCTGCGCACACCCGCTCCGCCACGCACACACTGGGTGCCTCCTCGGTCAGGGGCGCCTGGCCTCCCTGCTGCCTGTCCTCTCCCGCACACAGAGCACACACCATAAGGACTCCCCTGTCCCTGGCTGATGGCGTCTCCTCCACGGAACTGTGAGCTCCTCAAGCAAACTCAGCAACACAGTCGGGGGACACCATGGACAAGGGACGCCAGGGACAGGGGACACCACGGACAAGGGACGCCAGGGATAGGGGACGCCAGGGACAGGGGACGCCAGGGACAGTGGCCAGGGCCACTGAGAAGGTGGCAGGAGACTTTACAGATGCTTCAGGGAGGAGACAGACAGCCTGCGGGATGGGGCTGGCGGTCCAGGCCTGTCACTGAGGCCCCTGCGCTCAGGTGTGCTCCCACCAGGTTCCCTACATGGCCCATCTCTGCGGGTCCCCTTCGGAGCTTGCTTTATCGAGAAGCAGGAGACGGAGACGCGCCCGCAGTGGCTGGGCCTACCCCAGCACGGTGGCCATGCAGCTGTCACAGAAGCGGTGCCCACACTCGGTCTGCTTGGGGTTGCACAGCACCAGCTGGCACTTCTCGCACTTGTACTTGTCCTCCACGGTCTTCACGAACTTCTCCTTGTACCCTCCTTGCTCGGGGACGAGCACTGGGGCGCCCGCGCTGCGGTCCGGGTGCAGCTTGAGCGATGGGTTGGTCTGCAGCGAGCCGGAAGGGTCCATCTTTTTACTCGGCTCCATTGTGAGACAGAGACACGCTGCTGGGAAAACAACAAGAAATGAGTCAAGTGCTGCCCATGGCCCAGCAAGGAGACAGCAGACCCGGCCCTGGATGCCTGTCAGCCTGAGCGAGGCTGGGTGCTGGGGGGTGCGTGGGGGAGGGCCTGCTCGCTGCGCCGTGCACACTCACACCACTGCTCACAGCCCTGAGGGCACGGACTGTATCTTGAAGGTTCTTTATTATTTTTTTTAAATATATTTTATTGATTTTTTACAGAGAGGAAGGGGGAGGGATAGAGAGCCAGAAACATTGATGAGAGATAAGCATCAACCAGCTGCCTCCTGCACACCCCCCACTGGGGATGTGCCCGCAACCAAGGTACATGCCCTTGACCGGAATCGAACCCGGGACCCTTCAGTCCGCAGGCTGATGCTCCATCCACTGAGCCAAACCGGCTAGGGCTTGAAGGTTCTTTAAACCACAGAGAACACCTAACTGGGCCGTAAGCTCCCATCCGAGGCCCCATTCCGACGCTCTGGCTGAAACCACAGCCCTTCCGCCAGTGTTGCTCCCAGCCGGCCTTGCTGTGGAGGCCACCTGCTGGCCGACCGGGTGGAGGTGCTGTGAGGGCCTGCAGCCAAGCACACTGCAGCCTCC